ACTCTTTTTGCTTGTAGAAATAACACCAATTGGGCCTGAAACATACAAAACTAGCTCATTAGCACTCAAAATCAGAATCCTTCATTTCTATGCAATATTTGGGGTTTTTATTAACAAAAGATATCCTTTTCATTCCCATTTTAACATCAAACCACAGGTTCTAAGTCACAAATCATGGACTTATCACATATATTTAAAAAATATATTAAGTGTTAAATTATGGCTTGGTTGATTTATGTGAATGACTATAATGTGAGACAAAATCATTTTTTTGGGTCATAATGTTATTATTTTTTTGGGGGCCATAATGTTATTATTTTACTACGAAAGTTATTTTTTATTAACTTTTGATTCGGCTGAAAAACATATTAACATAAAAAATAAAAGAAACTTAAACTTATTTTTGGATTTAAATGCTAGTATTTATACAAATCAAATTAATGCTTTTAAAATTCTAGTTATCGAATACAATGATGTGTTCAATGGCAAAAAATTACATGTTTGTTATATAATAATATTAAAATTATTAATTAATCTTAAGATATGATACTATAGTCATATTAAATGATGCTATTGATTTAAATTCTTCTTTTGTCAATAACTTATTGCTTAATGTTTTATAAAATTTGAGAAATATTTAGATGTTAGAGGTTAAAAATAAAATATTAAATTATATATTTAGATAATTTTTTAATTATGCAAGTTCATCCGCCAACCCATCTCAAAATGGAAATAAATCATCTCATGTGAAAAAAATATGAAATAGTTATGTAGGAAGATCACAATCATAAAAAAAAAATGAAATAGTTATATAGGAAGACACAATCATACAAAAGTAAATCAACGGTCATGATTTTATAACTACCTATTTTGATATATATTTTTTGGGAAAAATATCTATGCTTTTGAAGGATATAACACTACATCATTTTAAATAAAACGCAGCGTTTCGTTTGAAAAATCATTTCATTTCTTTATTCCAAATCTATTGTCCCTTCTCATCTCTCTGCAACCAAGCGGTATTCTTTCCCCTCATTCTCTTTCCCATTCTCAAAGTTGGTTTTTCTTCAATTTCGTTCTCACCGAAACACTTTGATAAAACCATCGAGTCAAATTTCTCTTGAAGGCGGAAAGAGATGCTGCGATAAACATCAAGCAAAGGAAACACAAAAATGAAAGATTAGCAAATACCGCCAATGCAACCAATAGATGAAAAGGAAAAATCAAATAATACTGATCCCTATTTTATGGTAGTCATGTACCATTGTAAATAAGTTAAATATTTTGTATCTTGTATAAAACTAGGAAATGAAAATGTGTTAAATCTGAGAAAGAAGTATTTTTTGTCATTCTCTTAACTGTGAAGAGATGGAAAAGGTTGACCACCCTGCAATTCCTTCTCTTAATTCAGTTAGTCAAGAAAATTATGTTTTGCATTGAAGGGTTTTCTTATTGATGGAATTTTTAAATCAAATTAAATTGGATTAGGTAATGGGTTCTACGAAGATATCTATTGGTACAGAGAAATGACTTGAAATTTTACAGCAGTTGTAAGATCAGCATTTTTGGTTTGGTATAAATTTTATCAAATCGTAAGACTTTTCAAATGAGAACCCAAACAAATTGATTCATTTATATGCCTCATTGAGTCCCTGATAAAGGATACATCCTTGTTTAGGCATAATATCTGGATTATAGAAATGCATAAGCAAGATAAATTAAATCGTATTGGCACAAGTGCTCTTAAATAATCAAAATTGTTAAATTGAAACTTATGTAAAAAATATATCATATCTCAAGAAGTTGTTGCCAGATGGGAAGCTAGCTATAGGAAAACAAGGTTCTTAATTAAATAAGTCAATTGGAGAACTTCTTCCATCTCCCTTGTTCTCAGCGATGTTGAAGTACCTCAGCTCGTATACATCTCTATCTTTGTTTGAGGCAATCACTCGAGGCGAGTCATGTACATTGTGTTTCTTCTAAGTGCATTATAAATTAGCAAATGTGAACCATGATCAAGGGTGTGAAACCTTCCAAGCATAAGCCAAGACCAGGAAAATATCCTTTGTTGAGGAACCAATAGTTGCTGCAATTCTCTATGATGTGGATGTCGTATCCAGCCACTACTCAATCGAATTATGGAGCCACAGTGTAGGGAGCACTGGTTGTCCCATACATTTAATCTCAACCTGAAAAATGGATTAACTGAAGATTGATGCAACTTATAAACTAGCATCAAATGCTAATTGCCATATTCTATAATACATAAAAAATGAATTAAAATCTCTCGGGCCCAGTTATTCCCTAATACATCAATTTCTTTTAGATCTATTACAAATGGAGAGAATTACCTCTGTTTCACTAGTAAGATCTAGTTTATTCATTAGTTATATGCAAAAAAAAATTATGAATAAGGTGCAAAATTAAGACGTGAATATGGTTAGATCTAGTTACCTTTTAAATGACATAACACTATCAAAATTTCACTGGTCATATTTAGTTACCTCTGAATTATGGTGCAAAATTTATAGGATTCTTCTCATGTATATGCAATTGATCGCTACATATTCTATACACTATACAGTACTCATTTACATCATACAAAACTAAAAACAACCTTCCATAAATTGCTTTTATTGATAGTATATAAGTCAAAAGAAAATGAAGGCAAGACAATAATTGTACTAAAATAAACCAAAGCAATATGAAGGAGGTAATCAAATCGGTCAAATAGTATTTTTGCTGATAGTATATAACTCTGGTAATTCTAATGAAATGGTTTAACGGAGTGATGCTTCAATAATGATACACACTCTTCACATTTAAGCGGAAAGGGGGATTAGGGATGGTTGATAGGAGAAGCAAAACCTACTGTCCACGTTTTGTGAGAAGATCAATTTGACTATTGCAATCATTGTCATTATACCACACTATAACTTCAAATCTACCAAAAATATTCTGATATCAAGTTCAATATAGAACAACCATGAATTTTATATTTGAGGTGCAATTTCTCAGAACAAAAAGGCATGGAATCTTTTTTTAATAATGGAGACTTATAATTATATAAAAACGTATATTATATGATGCTAATTCAAATAGAGGGACAAAAATCAAACCTGTGAAAATTCAGACACATGAACTTGCCTGACAACTGCTATATCCTCCATCAAGTATTTTCACAGCTCTAAAAATGGGGAAAAAAGAAGAAGAGAAAATAGAATAAAATTTTGGGAAGTAAGCACAATCAGATATACGCATAACATGAATCAAAGTTCAGAAAAAAAAAAAAATTGTCAAGTGTCATAAAATAGAAATAGGGTTTTTGATTTTACCTTTTCATCTATTGGTTGCATTGGCGGTATTTGCTAATCTTCCATTTTTGTGTATCCTTTGCTTGATGTTTATCGCATCATCTCTTTCTGCCTTCAAGATAAATCTGAATCGATAGTTTTATCAAAGTGTTTCGGTGAGAACAAAATTGAAGAAAAACCAACTATGAGAAAGGGAAAGAGAATGAGGGGAAAGCAAGTTTGAGTGAGGGGAAAGAATACCGCTTGGTTCAGTGGCGAAGCCACATGTAGCGTGAGTGTGGCCTCGACTCGGGCTAAATTTTAACAAATTATATTTATTAAACATAATTATATAATTAATTATAATTTGATTCGGTTAAAATTATAATTTGGTCTGGGCTACAATTTGTAATTTGACTCTATCTAAAACTTAAAACAAATTTGATGAAAGATTTGTGTAAGTTGTATCAGATTATATGTTCAATTTCTACTTGTATAAAAAAAATAAAATATTTTTAGTAAAATTAAAAAATATTTAATAAAATCATAACTCTTCTTAGTGTTGCTTGCTCTGATACTCTTATTTAATATAATTTAAATATATTATAATATGAACTAACTAAAATTAAAAAAAATAAATACATACATAATTTTTTGGCCCGGGCTGAAATTGAAGCCCGGCTTCGCCACTGGCTTGGTTGCAAACAGATGAGAAGGGACAATAGATTTGGAACAAAGAAATGAAATGATTTTTCAAACGAAAGGTTGTTTTTTATTTAAAATGATGTAGTGTTAAATCCTTCTAAAGCATAGATACTTTTCCCATATTTTTTTCTCTTTCTTTATTATCACAATTCACTTTAACCATATCATATATATTTTTTAAAATAAAAGGATCCAGATCGGCCGGATCAGAACAACGGGTCATCTCTTAGCAAGGAAGCACGAACACTTGTAAAAGCAGGGAGATTCGTGTCTGACACGCTCCGACACGGCGACACGCTCCGACACGCGAAATTGACTGTGTCCGACACGGTCAAATGACATTTTCGTAATTTTTTATTTATTTTTTTTTATTTTTAATTTTTAATTTTTTAAAAAAAATTATTTTTTTTAAAAATTAAAATATATTAATAAAGCTTCCACCTGATCATATCAATTTTATTTTTTTGTCTTTTTCCCCATTAAGTAGATAAGAGATCATCTCAGCATCATTGTTGTCAATTCCTATCACGCTCTTGTTGTATCTCCTCCTCTCTGATCTCTCTCTCATATAATTTGATCTCTCTATCTGATATTATATCTCTTTCTTATCCCAGTTATTATTTTTTTATTAAAGCTTCCATCTTTATAACGTGTTGATGGGTATTATTGATTTAGTTTCATTTTTTGTTAAATTATTGAATATTAAATGAAATATACACTATAAATTAAAAATATTATTTAATATTAAAACGTGTCCCAACATATCGAAATTCATAATTTTTTAGGATTGACATGTCGAAGTGTCGTGTCGTGTCACGTGTCGCGTGTCGTGTTGTGTCACGTGTCGCGTGTCATGTCGGTGCTACATAGTCTCCTAGTCCCACTCAACAAAATCCAAAATCGTAAATACGCTTATCTTGGAAGGGTAATTTCGTAAAAGCTAATTACTCACTTTAAAAAACAACCAAAAACGTTTGTCTGAGGATTTTACAGTGACATAGAGACAGTGACAGTGTGACTCTGAGTCTGAGCAAAGCTAGAGAGAGAGAGAGAGAGAGAGAGAGAGAGAGAGAGAGATGGCGTCATGGTGTGCTGCAAGGTGCTTCCATACTCCGGCGATGGATGTCGGCGTTTTGCGCCGCCGAGCTTCATGGGCCGCCGGAATAGGCGGAGCCTCGGTGGTTGGCACGGCTTTGTGGCGTTCATCTTTGTCTAAGCGCTCTGTGCCATTCGCTTGCTTGAACCTCTCCACTAATACCGGTATTTCCCGATCATTTCTTTGGCCTGTGTCTTTGTCTTATGTTTAGGCTTTCTGTGAATTTTGTTGCAGAAAAGTTTTAAAAAATATTAATTTTTGCTTACTACATATTCCTATCCTGTCTTGTATTGCAATTTTTTTGGGTCAAAATTTAAACTTGCATATAGTAAACCTTTCACTTTGTGGTAAAATGTGTTCCTTCTGGGGTGGAACCTGCTAATTTTATGGTTATGTCTGAAATTTCATCAATGATTATTGATGTGTCTTTCGGGATTAAGCTGCTTTATATGCTAATTACAAATTAATAGGCATCCAGCAGAATTTGCCATAGTTGTTTTGTGATCAATTCAACATAGGATCATTTAGTATTGGTGCTGCATAACTGCATTGAAGTGTATATACTCACTATTTGATAGGTGTTCATATTCATAGCTGGAAAACTAGTATAATCAAAGCTTGTTCGAATTAGTATATATAAATTGTCTCTAGTTGAGATGCCTTTTTGTTTTTTAACGGAGAGATATAAAGGGAGAGGGACTATGTTGTTTGCACAAAATAATTTCTTTACATTGCTATTTTCATTTATGTCAGAATCTTGTGGTATCCATCATTTACTCATTGATTGTAGGGATCAAGGAAGCTGTTCAGACTGAAAAGGCCCCAGCGGCGTTGGGGCCATATTCTCAAGCAATCAAAGGCAACAACCTTTTGTTCGTGTCAGGTGTTCTTGGTCTTGTTCCTGAGGTTTGATATTGTCCGTCTGAAGTTCACTCATCAATTCAGTCTTCCAATCTTTAAGCATCTGTATACATGTGCAATTGCGCATTTGTGCTGGCTGCATGATGAAATGATGCCCTGATAATATAGATTTTTATTTCTAATGCAGACGGGGAAGTTCATCTCTGATAATATTGAAGATCAGACAGAACAAGTACAGACAGATAACTCTGAACTTGCAGCATTTCATTTTTTAATATAGGGGTCTTTTCTTATTGTTTGTACTTTTGTCACATTTCTCTTGGCTTTGGGCTTACAAGGTTTGATTGTTCATTTATTAGAATTTGGGATTGAGATGTGGTTTAATGGGATGATTTTACACCTAACTGTTGAGTAATTTTTATGGTATTAAGTGTTGGCAATCTTGAAGTGGGAAATCCTCCCTCTACACTTATGAGGAAGTAGTTAATGATTTAGAATGACCACTAAGAATGAGAAAGCTTACTAGCTGAATTTGCATGAAGCTGAGTTAACACTTTCTCTTTTGAAAAGAATTTTTAATTGGTCAAGATATGCTAGGGAAACTAACATGAGACCTTGATCATTCTAGGAAAATGGAATTTTCGGGGAGAAAACTTAGTTGTTATGGGAGCTAACTTTGGAAATTTCCTATAAAATGATTATTGAAATCATCACTATTAATATATTAGTATATTTCGCTAATAATGAGATGTTCATAAGACAAAACACTAAACTCCTTTTTTTTGTTTGAAAAGAGACAATTTCATTAAGACAGAGAAGGAGCATACAGAGATAAAGGAGGATAATAAATCCTCACCAAAATTAAAAGAAAAGAAAAAGCAAACAACACTAACATTACTTTTTATTCTAATAATCTAGGTCAAGTATTAGTGTAGTACAACTAGTACAAACCCACCCATTAAGACAACTAACATCACAAACAAGACTCCTATAAGAGTAAGAGTCATAAAAATCCTAATATTCTAACAATATTGATGCTTAATATATATCATGCATGTCTTTCTGTATAAATGGAAAACTGATATATAAGCAATTTTTGTGACATGCTTACACCCTTTGAATTTCATTAATTATTGTCTGGTAGATGCATGTAAACTCCTCTTTCGCTTCAGAGTAACATATGCATTTAACGATGTCATGATGTTACATTGCTATGAAAGTGCACTTACTGATTTTGTGGATGACATTTCAAATAATTACACATTCAAGCTTCTCAAAAACATGGGGGAGATCCTAAAAGCTGGGGGTGCCAGCTACTCGTCAGTTGTTAAGACCACAATTTTGTATGAATTCTTAGCTCTTCATTAGTTTAGATTGTGTTGAGTGCTGGCAAGATAACTGCCTTAATACCATTTATTTTCTCCAGGTTGGCTGACTTGAAGGACTTCAAGAAAGTTAATGAGATCTATGCTAAATGTGAGTTCTGTGTAAATGATTTTGATGTTTCCTTGATATGCAATAGATTGCGTCGTGTAATGATAAGTACCACTTTTTGAAACTTGTGCACTTTATTTGTTAATTCTTTTGATAACAATAATTAGCCATCCATTTAATATTGCAGTCTATGAAATCCTCATGCAGACAAACTGCTAAATGTGCTACTTACCTATAAATTTCACTTCTGATAATAAATCATAATGTGCTGTAATCAAAAATCTTTTTTTGTTTTTGTTTTTTTGTTTATGTAATTGAAGATTCATCTGTTAGCTTGTCATAAGCTATGTTTTCATATTTTATTATATATATTAAGGGGTGAAAACTTGATTGATGCTAGTTTATCAAAAAAAGACAAAAATAACAACATTATTGATGCAAGAGAATCCAGTCTTTTGTCTTACTGACAAGGTCATTGAATATGTTTAGTACTATTGCTGAAATGATAAGGTTTCCCTCGTTGTTAGCAATTTTTATTTTTCACTTATACTGATAGTGGTTTCTTTAATCATTTACCATTGGTTCAAATGGTTTCAGACTTTCCTTCACCTGCCCCAGCTCGTTCAACATATCAAGTAGCTGCCTTGCCATTGGATGCCAAGATTGAAATTGAGTGCATAGCAGCACTATGATCACCACTTCCAATAGTATTATAAATGTTTCTTCAGCAAGCTCGGGTTAATAATGCAGAAGTGACATATCCTAGCATTGGAGTTTTACTTTGTTTTGTTTCCCCTTGGATAATAATGCTCTTGTTATTGCAAACAGTCTACAAATACATCATGAAGGACTCTAAATCTCAGATTCTCTCTTAAGATTATGTCCTCATTAAAACTGAAAGAAATAAAGTAAGAGAAAGCATTCTAGTTTGCCATTTTTTCTGCTGTGTCACTTAACACGAACCATGGTTGGATGCTAACTCTCATTATTCTGAATAAGACCATGGTTCTGCTTCGCTTCATTCCACCTCACCTTCCCCCAATATAGTGACTCTGAGACTCTCTGCTTGACAATTAATTTCGCTTTCTTTGGTGATGAAGCGAATCTCATCCAAGCCCTCAAGTTTCTTGTTGGTTTCGCTGGTTTCTTTTCTCAGAACCTCAGTAGTACGTTCCAGAGCCAAGTGGGGTTTTATAAGGGAACCTTGCAAAGGCGACATATGGTGAATATGGCAGCACCGCATAAACAACAGCCAAAGGAGAGTTTTATATGCAAATTGACCGCTCAATCCCTATATAATATTGCACTCACCAGAGTGTATTATATGTAGGACTCATATATACCACAAATGTATCACACATATATATAATTAAACATAGATTTTCCCTTGGCAATATTAAACTATAACATCCAGTGCCTTCCCTTTTAACGTAATGACTTGTAGGTAATACAAAAAATGATATAACCTGTTATAAATTATAAATGATATACTCCTTAAATTCATGCATTCTATTGCATCATGACTTTTACATCCCCACAAAGTCGGGTCCAAAATAATATTATCATTATTAATGAGATATGTGCTTACCAAAAAAAAAAAAAAAGAGATATGTAACTATATAACCCGTGAATAATGACCTAGTAATAGGCTTTGCACTTAGTGGGTCCTGTATTAACGAGAGGCTAAAAAATGTCTAATATAATTATCCATGCATGTCTTATTTTGATTTTTAAATTAAGGAGGAGTCCAACCATATTTTTAAGCCCTAAAAATGTGGTTCATTTATGATCATGGTTTTGATAAAAATGATAAAAAAAAAATATTTAAAATAAATAATGTAAAACTTGAAATTTTCACACCGGGTTACTCACAAGTTGTCCAATAACCTTCATTTTCAGGCATTGGAGTAGTGGTACAATTAGTTGGGGTTCCGAGTTCCATCGATGAATGTTCAAATCGCCGGAGCTATTTCCATCCTATTTAAACTGCATGCGTTGTTTGAACACAGCCGCAATGCTCTTTTCTGCTCTAAATTCATGTTAGCATCTAATGCATTGAACAAATACGAATGTTTAGCACCATACATCAAATTCTTGCAGACAATCATGACTCAATTGTTAAATTTGAAAACAAAATGCCTACACATTAAAAAATTAAATAATTTTTTATTTTATTTTTATTTTTTATTAATAACTATAGGTACAAGATTTGCAATTACAAGGATCTGAGCTTCAACTTAAGATCCATTTTACTCCATCATTAATTTATAAAGCCATGAGTTTAATAGCCAAGTAGTAAGATTGCAGCACGAGGAAAATCTTCTTTCAATTCACATTTTCATAGATCAATGCTTATATTGTTATAATAATAAAAGGGGCGAGAGGGATAAAGCATAAAAATTAAAATAAAATAAGGATCATATGTGTTATTGAAAAAATAATGGATGATATTAGCCAAATAAAAAGAGTAAATCTGTCACTGTAATGCATGTGGCTGAACTGTCCAGCAACTAATTCCAAGCTTTCTTTTTATAGATTAGAAATGGTCTCCACATGAAGTATGAATTAAAAACTAACCATATGTTGGTCAAAGATTTGGAAAATTCTCTTGAATGCTTCAAGGTGCACATCATCTAAAAGTATGAAAACAACCGATTTAGAAATCACAGCCTTTTCTTTTATTTCCTTACCTTCCTCTCCTCATTGAACCCGGCCATATAGTCATTGTTCTCTGTCATTTACGTCGTTCTTTGATTAGGATGCTTGAGTACGCGTTAATTTTCTAAGCAAGTTTTCGCAGCAAGTTTCTTGGGATGCAGTGGCCTGAGAATGTGATTTTTTTTTCTTTTTAAGGCAACCAACTTTAGTGAAGCCACGCCATTAAAATGTCGCCTCTTCAGCATATGCTTAAGTTTGGCTCCTCCCACGCAGGAACTTGATGTAGAGCTGATAGGAGACGAAATGCCTTCATCATCATCAAATACTGGGTAATCTAATACCAATACAGGACTAAACTATTCCTTCTCCTCATTTGGCCAATTCTGTTCCACGAGAGTAAACTCACAACCCATAAATTCTACTCTTAGGCGAAGTGAATTGCCCTTTATGTCTAATTTTCTAGACATAACCAACGAAGTTTTAAAACAATCCGCATTATAAGCTTAGTAAAAATGGGATAATCAAACTCAAAAATAGAACGTCGAAAATTTTGCTTCGTACAAGGAAAATAAAAGATTGACATGCATGCAACTTTTGTAATTTTCACTTTTTATCCTCTGTTCAGAATGTTTAGGACACTAAGGCTTTGTTTGGGAGTTTGTAGGAGAAGGGAAGGAAGGGGATTCAAAGGAGAGGGAGGGGAAGGAAATTGAAAGATATGTTCTTCCCTTATTTGGGAGTTAAAAAATGACAAGAGAGAGATATTTTTATCATTTTATCCCATTTTTAAAATTAATATAATTATTATATTTTACAAATTAAATTTAAAATTTCTAACAAAATTATTTATGTACTTTTCACAATACTAAAAAAGATAAAATTTTCGACAAAATTTTTATGTTGTAAACGACGAAAATTTCATCACAAAATTATTTTTTCATCCGAATACTTTTCGTTGAAAAGCGAAGAAATTTTTTGCCCGATGCAGATTTTTACAAAAATAAATTTTCTATCGTAATTTAGTTTTCGTCAAATGTTTTGACGAAAATGATTTCCTCTATAAAATGTTTTAAACGAAAAAATAATTCCGTCGAAAATTTTGATGGAATGTTTTCCGTTCAAAAATTTTGACGGAATGTTTTCCGTTCAAAATTTTGATGAAAATGGGTTCTGAGAAAATTTTTGATGAAAATTGTTTTGTCAAAATTTTTGAGAGAAATGTTCCATTCGAACTTTCGACGAAATTAAGATTCTGTAAAGAATTTTGACAGAATATTTTTTATCGAAAAATATTTCGTCAAAAATTTTTACGCAAATATTTTTTGTTGAAATTTTTTGACAAAAATGTGTTCCGTTGAAAATTTTTAAAGAAATGTTTTTTATCAAAAAACTTGATGGAAATATTTTTCGTCGAAATGTGTTTCGTTAAAAGTTTTGACGGAATTTTTTTTTTTCAAAAGGTTAACGAAAATGTTTCTGTCAAAAATTTTCGACGCAATTTAAATTTTATAAAGAATTTTGACGAAATTTTTTTTCATCATAAATTTTCGATGGAAATGTGTTTCGTTGCAAATTTTGATGGAAATATTTTTCGTCAAAAAATTCGATGAATATGTTTTTTTGTGAAATATTTTGAGGGAAGTGTTTTAATGAAATTTAGATTCCATAAAGAATTTTGACAAAAAAAAATTTCCGCCAAAATTTTTTACAGAAATATTTTTATTCACAAATTTTGATGGAAATATTTTTCGTCGAAAATTTTTGCGGAAAATTTCGATGGAAATGTTTTCCGTAAAATTTTTGACTTAATTATTTTACGTCGAAACTTTTCGATGGAAATGTGTTGCGTCAAAATTTTGGATGGAAATATTTTCGTGAAAAGTTTTGACGAATTTAGATTCTATCAATAATTTTGATTGAATTTTTTTTATAAAAAATTTATGTCAGTGATATGGAAAAATCTGCTTTCGTCTTTGGTTTTGACGGAAATTTTTTGACATATATGATTTTCATCAAAAATTTCATCATTATTTTTGATGAAATATTTTTTGTTGATAAATTTTGTCGGTATTTGAGACTTTTCTAATAATGTTACATTTAAAAATGATTCACATTTAGGTAGTTTTCAGATTTTAATGCTAAAGATAGATAAATAATTTTTAATATTTCCCGCTTTAAACTCCCCAAATTGGGAGAACTTTAATTTTAAGAAGAAGCATGGTTTTGGAGGATTTAGTAAAAATCCCCAATTTTATAATATCCCTAGCCTAATTAATTAGTAAATTACATGCAATTAAGTAATTAAGCATGTATTAGTAAGTAAAATTAAGTACAAGGCCTAATTAAATGAATTAGGGTCACTTTTGAGATAAAAAGTGCTGTCAGTGAAAATTATGGAGTAAAAATGAGTGTAGGCAAAAGACCCAAAATATAAAAGTAAAATTAGAAATATTCCTAGAAAAATATTCGAGACCTTTGGGTAAAGTTTGAAAGAGAAGAAATTACCAAAAAAAAAAAAAGTTTGAAAGAGAACGGAGTTAACTAGATAGATGAACTTGTACCCGGTTAAGATAACTTAAGTTAAGTTAAGGGGCAAAACATCAACACCCACTTCATTTTCTTCTTCTTCCCGTCGACAAGCAGAGAGTGAGAAGGAAGTAAGACCATTTTGGAGAGAAAACCCTAGCCACTCCATTTTTCAACCATTTTGAGTGATTCAAAAGCCAAAACCACTTAGAATCTTCCTCTCATCCTTAATCCTAGCTTGGTTTTGAATGGGGAGCATTGTGGTATGAGATTTCTTCCTCCCAAGCTTCGACCCACATGGTGTTTGGAGGAGTTTGAAGGCATTTCCTTCAATGAGAGCTTAGGAAATCAACGTTTCTTGGTTGTGTGACCTTGTGTGGTAAGTTTTCACTCCATGAACTTTGTTTTCATGGAGATTGCATGGTTGAGGAAGATGATGAATAGTGTCATGGTGGGTGGTATGAGTTTGGGTTTATTTAAGCTTAAGCCCTTTGTAAAAGTTGTTAGAAATGATAAATAAACGGTAGAAATGAACTTATATAGTCATTTGATTATGCTTTGAAAATTGCAAGATTATATACTTGGTTTGTGGATTTTCTTGCATTAGTAAACAATGGTTTGGTTGGATGTTAATTGTGTCCATAGGATTGAGCTTGGGGGACCAACATTGAAGGACCAACCATTGGAGGAAGCCATGGAGCTTGATTAGCTCACTTGAATTGGTATTGATTATAAAGCTTGATTGTTTGAGTTGGTGAAGAACAAAGGT